GTTTAGGGTTTAGGGGCCAAAAAGTGCGGGGGCTAACGTGGAAGCTAAGCGGATCAAAAGAAAGCCTGGGTCCTGCGCGGGCCGAACTTAAAATGTAAAAGCCCTGAAGCCCACCCTGCGACCTCCGGGCTACTCAGCACACACTGAACTACTGTTGAATGACGGAATGTACTAATTTACCATTCTCCCACCACAGCCACCACAACCCACCATTATATTACTAGTGTCATTACCATTACTACTTCGCCATGACTGCCAATATTACTTGACAACTACAACTAGATTTCAAGCCATGATGCAGATCTTTCAAACCTCGGGGCGGCCCCAGCTCCAACGACAGCCTCATCTTGAGCATACAATTTCAGGTCTCACGGTTTGGATCGTATGGCTTAGAGTAAAGCCATGGGCCTCGAGTGTGGGCAGTTTCGTCCTTGGGTCCCTCTGCTTTAGCCATAACCTGCTGCTATGTTCATGCCTCAGGCTGTGTTGGTGCTGGCATGTTTCTACTGTTACTTTCATGCTGACTGTTTTCTATCACCTCGAAGCATCCGATATGAAATCAGACAGATTGAATCTTGAGTGTTTAGAAGATAGAGTTTCAGGCCATGCTCTTCGCAATGAAAGGTTCGCACTGAAGTTTCTCACTCAAGGTATCACGGTATCACACTGAGAGGTTCACATTGCAACTTTCACGCTGAGGCTGCCACACACTAAGGGTCTTACACTGAGGGCTTCGCAATGAGGAATTCGCACTGAGGCATTCCGTGCTTCGCACTGAGCTTCTGTATACCTAGTACATATGTTGTCTGTACTGCAAGGAGAACCAAAATCGATACAAACAGATTTATAGGCGTCCCCTTCATGGGTCATCTGGAGACATCTTTGAGAAGCCCTCGCATTAAGAGTGTCTGCTACAAGTCCAAACAGGATACCGAAAACCTCATGAATGGAGAAGGTACCCTTCCCCAGGTTAACAGTGAACCCAGGGTTGAAGATCCCAGCAGGCTAGCCTTGGAATGCCGCTTTACTGTCAAGACTTTCTGTTTGAGATGTTGGGCGGATAGCCCTTCGGACAAAGCCCTGAAAGGCTGAGTCACAGAGGGGTATGGCACCCCAAGACCTGCCCGCTGGTTTATCAATGTTCTCAAGACCTTTTGGTTTTTGAGCCAATCACTTTTCCAGAGCCTGTTTGGCCGCAAACCCCTCCCCCAATAATAACACACACACACACCATAATGCTCAATAAGCATTCCTCTCACTATGCATAGTTGGCTTAAGGTTTCAGGGTGACCTGGACTTCCTAGTTCGCTATACTCATGATATGCTGGTGTAGGAGTTTAGTACACCATTTATGCATGTAGTCAGCTGGCTCTCCAAGAAAGCCCTAAACATGGCCAGAAGTCGTGGCATTGCTCTGTGCCCATCGGATGTAGGGTCGGACTTCCGCAATGACATTGATGGGCAGATAGCTCAGCGCCTAGGTAGGTACATGATGACAAACTGGATTGCCGCATCCACAATGAGCTTTGAGGGACTTCATACATGGCGTTACCCCGTTA